TTGCGGCACATACAACATGCTGAGATCTATTGCATAGCTCAGACCGAATTCTTGACTGCCTCCACTTGGCCAATCACTAAACTCACACCGGGTGCTCCTAGGGACAGGATCGTCGCCTTCTTGTTCCCCAACGCCAGGCAGCCTAGCAACGAAGAAGCTCGCAGCGATGTAGGGCTGCCAGGCTTCAGGCGTCTGATGTTGAAGGGGATGTGAACACAAACCAAGCTTTGAGGATGTATGCTCTTCGGCAGCTTCGGCCGGTGCACACAGCGAACCTGCAATCAAACCTGGGCAACATGTTGAAGGGGTTGAGCTCATGGAACAAAGTACGATGAACATCTCGTCGGGCTGGCCTCGACGCTCTTGCGACGCGAGCTGACTACCTCGAACATCAGCTCCTAAGCCGCAAGCTATCGACGTGGCAAGCTAGGCCAGCTATAGGCTAGCCAGGCTCTGTGCTCTTAACACTCACTCTGCAGATCACTCTCAGTTATACTAAGGCTGACTCAATTCAAACGAGTGGCGGGAGCGTGCCCTGCCGGATGATCTTGGGAACTGCAGGAACTGAGGCAGCCCTCACCAGCAATGTAGGGGTCGGAGCTGCCGTTGGTAGTTTCAGCTGCATCCCGTTGCACATGTACGCCCGTCCCTTTGGGGTGCTCGTTGTCCTCGGAGTTTGGGCCAACGGCACCACCACGCAGGATGTCCTTGCTGATTGAAGCCGCGGCGTGACGCCCAGCCTGGCAGCAACGTGTCGCTGTAAGAGGCGCCTACATGCCATCAATAGGCCTCTCCTGTCTTTAGATCCAAGTGCCGTGATTATTTCTAGCATCAATATTATTGGTGCATTAGTTTTTGTAGCTAGTGTTGCTATTGTGGTTATTATTGCTATTCGTACTGTTCGGCTTCCTGTCAAACCTGTGCCGTTCAGGAGTGCCTCGGCGAGACTCCCGGTGCCATCTGCCGCCTTTGAAGAAAGGCAACCGGCATGCTCAAGCTGCCTGCACTGACCTTGCTTGGCGAGGTCGTAGCTTCAACAAGTTTACAATTGCCATAACATCAAACTGCAAACCATATGTAATGTTGTAAGTATGAGCCACAAGACTAAGAATGATAAGAACAAGAAGGAGAAGACTTGTGCCATGTGCCTTCAGACTGGCTTCCTAAGGAGAGAGCAGGGTGC